ATTATCCTTGGACGGAAGACGGCGCGATATCCTTGTCTCCGACTCCGCCATCCTTTTACCCCGTCTCCCATGATAATTGGCCCGTGCCTCGACTACGAGGCTGGGTTAATTACTCGCGAGCCACGATCTTATTCCTTTCACGGGTTCCATTCGGGAATCGATCCCTAATAGACTGCCCCGGAAAGTGATTCCAAGTCGATAAAAGTTGACGCTAGTCCATCGCTTCGAGACTGAATTTTATCCCCGGTTACAAGACGCGGAATTATTATCACCCCCGCTGCTTTATTCTACTACTTTTATTCATAGTAATAGTTTTTTATAATTTTACGCATTAAAATTATAGACGTTAAGTAATTTTTTTTGTACGAATTTCACTACTGTAACCTTTTTGTAACTATTGTAAATGAATACAGAATTTTTCTTTTTTAATTCATGTTTTATGTCACATCGACCTTCGGGTCATTAGCGACGAGTTGGTGCTGGGTTCTCTTCTTTTGATGTGGTTATATTTTGTGGTAGATGTTGGTTTGTTTTAGATATTTCAGGGTATTTTCTATACGTTTCTGTGTCGTCAAGGCTATACGTGAAGTTATCTTGTATTTTTCTCTTTGGACGTTGTATCTTCTGCAACAGAATTTTTGTACTACTAAAAAAGGCTAAGACCCTTCTGACCGATACGTTGTGAAAATTGAATGAATATTGTATATTTTACTGTGCTCGAAAAGACTATCCTTTTATGTTGTGTATATATACCACTAAACGCTAATCTTCTGTATATTGGCAAGAAAATAAATCTATGGACAAGCAATAAATTAATAGAATATTATAGCTAACGCAATATAAGTAGAATCGTGATGGAGGCATTCTTAAGAGTGAATAATGCATAAGCAGACATAATTGGAGATAATGTTATCCGTTTTCTTTTATTAAAGGGCGAATAAAAAATGATAGCTTGAAGAAACTAAATGGAGAAGTTAATTTCATGTGGCAAATTGTTTCCATTAAATGAAAACTTGAGTTAGAATAAGCTATACAACAGAACAGTCAACAAGATTGGATAAAATCAATTATATCAGTTATATTTACAACTAAGAATGATCGTAAATGACTATAATTCGAAAACATCACATTTATATGAATTGTTTTCGTATCTACCCTATATACGCCGTGCATTTAAAAATCGTACGAATATAAACACTTTAAAGAGCCCCCAATCACAGTAAACATCTCTGACCTAATTTTCTTAAAATCGAATTCTAATCCATTTGAGCTGTCACACATACAACCCGTCTCATTCGCTATGTTTTAAGAATTGTCGATAAAAGAATATAAGGTCGTCTTCATTTTTACGAGTTTCATGCTATTTGTGCAATGTCGTGCCATTTTTACGACCATTGTCAACATTACTATCGCTCCTTGGCATTTGCTTCGATAGGTTCGTGTGTTCGCCAAACAGAACCGACAAAACGAAGAATGATGTCGAACGACAAGTTCCCCAAACCCAAGAGCAATTGTGCAGGTGTGTTGCGGAATAGTATTATACGGTTAATTATCACAGACGGTTCTATTTACGCTAATTACTTCGGGGGAGCAGAGGTGCAACAGTGATCGATGCACGCTGACTCGTAATTAGAGAATATACACGTATCCGCAGAGGAACCAGTACACCTTCGTGAACGTGGAATTGCACGAAAACAGCCGGGGAACCAGCAGGGCAACGTTAAAAATCTACAAACTAAATGCTATGCAGCCCGATGTAAATTTCGATGGAACGTTCCGTCGATATTTATGGTGTTTCAAACGGAAAAACATTGGTAGATGATACTACATATCCGACGATATAAATCAGAAAGTGATCTGGCTGGACAAGTTTGTACCTTCGAAGTCATTCCGTTAAATTCCGGCAAACTGTTAAACAAACAAATAACGAATTAAACTTTTCACCTTGAAATTAAAATGGAAATGTCTTTTTTAAGTCGACGTTTAGAAACAGATACGATTGTGGCGATACTTCCCGCTCTCGCCACCAGAGGGCTACGCTCTTATCTCTCTCACAAGTGCTCTATATATGTATACACACTTCAACTGACGTTCACTGTTTTTACATTCTTAGTGCAAGGATTGGTTTCTGCATCATAATCAAGCATCTTACTCATTACACAATCGCAGCTCTTGGAAATACTGTTGATACTTTTAAGTATAACGTGCATAGCTTTTATTTGCTGACTTATTTTTGCTTTTCTATTCTATACACCGTTCTGCTGAACATAGAAATGTTTAAAACCATAAAATATAGCTATCTATTAAATAGAATAGAACAATTCAAAATATAAGTTGCTTTTTCACGTGAAAAACGTCGAAAAAATTAGATTTTGATTTTTGCTACCACGGTGCACTCTACAAAAAAATCTGAGAAAATTCAGGCACATAACCAATGGCAATTTATAGTATCTATATAAATCTAGTGTCTCGAAAGCTTCAATACGAAATCCGTATTTTTCTGCGTTTTCAATTTCTCACGCCTAGAATTTCGAATCGAAAAATCGAACAAAATTCTTGAACACGTATCTCGATAACCACACTGCCCCAGATTTTGTACACAAATTCGATAATCCGAATTTTCCCTTCCGACAAGATCGAGGGTTGAAACTTGGCACAGAATGTTTGATTCCGATGGCCTATCGATGGATCCATCGTATGTCAAATTTGGTTCAAGGGCACATTTGACCCCCTTATTCAGCTGTACCCTTTGCCTGATATTCCAACGAGTCGACGTATCGATCGAGCCGTAGCCAGGTTCAAACTGCGCGCTGATCCGAGCCGGTGGATCCAGACGAAAATTTCTGCGCGCCCAGTCCGACGAAGAAATGCCCGAGCAAAAAGGCCGACCTATATATTTGCGGAGAGAAGATAGCCAGACGCGGTACAGTGCACCGCGATGTTCGCGAGGCATCTTCTCTACTTTATGCAGCCGCGCTGGAAAAGCCAGACAAGAGGAAGAATTCTAATACTTCGGAGCGCTACTTTCAAAGCGGGTTTATAAAGGTACGCAAACACCAGCGAGGGGGAAGCGGTCTCGCAACTCTAAACGATACTTTTGGAGTACCCTATACATTACGGCATGGTTCTTTTCTTTTTGCCACACAATTTTTTTCATCTAACCCGCCAGAATGCTTCCAATGTGTACAGAAATAAATGGGGTCGTTGAATTTCATGGGAAGTAAACTCGATAGGAAAATCAAACGTCGAAGTATAAATTCTCATTGTATACCGTAGCCATAAGTTCTAGGAACCAAGTGTTTATCAGGGATGCAGATATGAGTCCGCTATTTTTATCTCTTGTGTGGGTGTATCGTTGAGTTAGTCAGATTAGTGATATCGTAAAAAGCATAATAGAGATACACATTCCTTGTATAGTAAAAGACAACCATTGAAACTTTTCAAGCTCTTGAAAATAAAATTGTATAGGCAAATAATATAGGAGATGCACTAAAAAAATTAATGGATTTGGATTCCAAAATGCCAGAAAAAATCACAAGAAATTCTGTTACAACTACTCGACACTTTAAACCAACATTGAAATATATTGTCAAGTTTGTAAATATCAACACGATTCAACACGATTATAGAACATAAAATGTTACAGTCGTTGCACGTAGGATCGTAACACGCTCCGAACATTTGAATGCGTTTAGCAATCACTGAAGCTTATCTGTTTACTTATGGAATATATAATTTGGAGTAAGTGAATCAAATCAGATAGTCCATAGTTTAACTGTTGCATTCTACGTGTCTACTATCAATTTCTCCATAAATTTTGTTTCACAACACACGCTTTCGAACATTTCAGATGTGACATTTTCAACTGCTTTCGTAATACGTCCGGCTCTCAGGAATTTGTTTATTGAATTACAAATAACTTTGCTCTCTAGGACCACGTTTCATGAAATTTGTTTTTAATTTGATTGTACTTGAATCAGTTTATTTTGTGCGTAACAATGAAAATTCGTTTCCGTACGATAAAAAGTTGGAATTTAAAAATCATTAGCTAAATTAGTTTTTACGCAACTACAGCGACTTGTATGTACTTTTGTCTCTTGTCTTTCGAAAAATGTCTGCTATTTGTTAAAAGTTATAGCGACTGTTGGACCAAAACAAAACACTTAAATTAGTTTGTTGCGCGTGTATGAACCAATTTGAATCGCGAAGATGCATGCATGTACTTTTATATAGTGGAACCATTTGGAAAAGTGGGACCAAAAAATTTGGAAAAATAATTTCTGCCATGTACAGCTATAGGCTATGCTACTGTGTATTCAGCGAAGTGTGTGCGTCTTGGCACACTGAGAAACTGGCAACGTCGTAACGTTAATCTACACACGTATCCACGTTTCGCTACGCCCTGATGCTACCAAACTGTCCCAGGTGACACGTCGAAGCTACGACATCGGACCGACCACCATAGATGGATCACTGGAGGAACTTGGCAACCGGGGCTAATTACCAATTCGATCGAGCAAAATCGGATATGCCATTGTTAAGACGGACGTCGTTCTTGCGGGCTGTCGACTGCTCAACTGCAGAATAATGCATTGCCACGTCATGCTGACACGTGTCACCCCTACATGTGCGATAACACTTTTCAATAAAAAAATTAAAAAGTTAATTCTGAAAGTACATTATTCAAAGAAGCCCCTCATCATCGGTTACAATCATTTTTGAGAAAAAATTCGAGTCTATTCTGAAATTTTTCGGCGAAGAAAAAAATTTCAAATCGTTCTAAAAAAAATTTTTTCTGTTGCAAGGGTCAATTAGAATCATTTTTGTTCAATAGACATACCCTCAAAATCCTAACCATTTCCGAGAAAAAGTTCCTTAGCGAAAATACAATTTCAGGCCAGAAATGTGACTAAAATTTCATGTGTATCTTTAAAACGTCATAACTTCTGAACGGGTTGGACGATTTTAATGTTTCAAACAGCAATCAACGCGTATTTTTATGCAAAATATGTAGAAATTCCAAAAATATTCGAAAAGTTACTTCTTAACCCCGTAAAATAAGAAAACCCCTATAAAAATGGTCCAATTTTCAAACATCCATAACTCCTACAATAGTGAATATATTTGGCTGAAACATTTTTCTGCAGTAGAGCCCATAGATATCTACAAAAAAGTGTTAGACAAATTTTCTGTAGAACGTCAAACAAAATTATTAAAAATCAAAAACAAATTTTTAGGAAAAAATCGACACAAAAAATTTAGAATCGTTCTGGAAAAAATATTTTTAGTTGCAGGTGTCAATTACAATCATTTTTTACCAATAGACATATCCCCGAAATTCTACCCACTTTCGAGAAAAAAAATTCGAGTAAGTGTGTTTTTCGACAAAATTAAACAATTTTAAATCGTTCTGAAAAAATTATTTTCTGTTGTAGAGGTCAATTATAGTCATTTTTGGTGAGTACACATACCCCCGAAATCCTACGCACTTTCGAGAAAAAAATTCTTTACCGAAACTATAATGTCTGACCATACATTGACATGTTTCACTGAAATTTGATGCGTATGTTTAAAACATTATAACTTCTGAACAGATTGGAGGATTTTAATGTTTCAAAATGCAAACAATGCATATTAATGGGGCTCTAGAGCCCCTAAAAAATGGACTGAAAAAATACATTGAATGTAAGGTCTACTCATATGCCTCGTCTGGGGTTGTCACTCAGAAAACTGTGAGGTTGTCTATACGTCATTAAATATAGTTTCTCATGCTGAGTGAAAACCACTATCGCGCGCACCTGTTCGCAGATTGTCGAACTTTAGACGTTAATAACGTTTTAACAAAGCTTCAATCAATAAATTGGTATTCCTCATTTTCGTCTTATTTTGGCCTCTAGAATCTCTCATTAAAATTATTCTCAGGAGTGCTCGAACACTCTGTATAATTACATTCTTTGTGTTTCATTTCACATTTATAACTATATTACTGGATATTCGAGATTCCTACGTGGCAATAAACATTTAGTTCTCTTTTGTTTTATTAGATTCTATTTTCTCTTGTGTTTGACAAACTTGCATTTATTTGAATTTCCTACTGCAGTATGGAGGTTCTGGAAATGACGTCTGTCTGAAAGCAGTGTATTCATGTAGAGTACTATCCTTAAATATGTATATTACATAACAGATGTATAAGTTTTGTCATAAAGGTTTCTTTCACGTATTAAATTAGTCTTCGTCCTTTATAATCCTTTCAAAAGTATATCCAATCCTAATAGATTGAAGCTCCAGTTTATATTTACGTTCAACTAGGTTCATTTTCATTACTCGTACCGAAACACCCTGCATATGCACAAAAGAATAAATTCCCAGACTCTTAGAATCCAAACGATTCGCTAAACGGATTCCACATACCGGCCGCAAGGAGATTTAAATCGCCCATACGGTTAGCGAAATGACCCGTCCGTATCAAGCGACCAAACGACGCTCCGACAAACGTAACAAACCGAAAGAGAAAATCCCGTCCAAATGGTGCAAGTCGCGTTCAAGCTCTTTACCGCGGAACACAAAAAGGAAGATAGCTGATCCCGGAGACTTTCGAGGGGTGGTGCCTCCTCCGACGGTCGTAAGATGCGAACGATATCGCGGTATCGTCGAAAACGATCGATGGCCGCTGGCCACTAAACGTCGGCCCCACTCTAAATGGCCCAAGTTATCGATCGCCGACACCGGCGATGAAAATCGCGATACTACGAACGCGGCGACCTCAAGCATCCGCGGATCGCTCGGTCATCGAGCTTTCCCCTTCGTAAGGGAAGGTTAGGTCAACCCCGTAGTGGGTTAGGATAGGTCAACTCAGGTCGATCGGCCGCGTACGGCAGTCTGCGTTTTACGATGGTGGCGCGACAGCGGTTGTCGGACGCGGGACAAGAGGGCGGTTCGAAAGGGGGATGGGACGACGGCGGGGGTGGCTCAGGGCCGGTCGGAACCGCAACCTCACCCTCCGCAATTACAATGCTAATTCCGCGTACACGGCTCTACGGTTAATCGTCGCGCGATTTTCTTTAACCTTAAGCCACCGCCGGCCCACCCACGCGCGATTATCGCGCTCCCGTGGAACGCGTACACGCGACCGCGAATCTCTTAACGTTCCGCGCGACAAATGCCCATAACGAGCGTAAATTTCAACTTCAACATCGTTGATATACGGCCTGCTCGCGGCTACCGTGCTGCGACAGACTTATCACCTCGTGTAAAAATAAGCTGAAAACAGAAAGCGGGGTTGGGGGGAATGGTAATTTGTGACACGCAGGAGTTCTTAACGCTCGAGCGCGTGAATGTTACTCTACTTTTTGAAAATTGCAGATTGTGAAATTCGCGAATTGATTTTTGGTCGTTCTTGGTTCTCGACACGCGACTGTTAATTATTTTAACAGTTTGTTTTGGTTACGAATAATTTGGAATTTTTGTTGTTTAATCGCAACGCGATATTACGGCTAAAGAGTATAATGTCTGCGAAGAAAATAATTGGTGGAACAATGAGAGCAACGTGTAAAAGGCTGCTAATGACAATCCTATTAGAGGGTGTTTCGGCAGAGTAAAATAAGACGGAAGTTAAGGATAACGAAATTGCCTTTGAGGATTTGTTCTACTTTTCAACCTACAAGGAAGGTATTGTAATGAGAATATTATAGTAATAACAGTTTCGCGGAATGGAAATGTTTTTAAACAAATTTCTTGAGACTCGAATCGGGCGTTAAAACAACAAAATATTTTTAATACGTTTATAATGCAAGAATGTTTTTTTCAATTCTGGATGAGTCTATTTAGAGAGATTTATCCTCTTTAATTTAAACAGAACGATAAATTCATTTGCGAATGCTTTTTTCGTACAAATTGATAAAATATGCAAACTCTGAAGGCTTGTATTTTTAAGCAATTACGAAAATAGAAAAATAATGACTTAATCCTCTCGCCCTCAATTTCATATAAATTTCAACACTTGGTGTAGAATAACCAAATATAATACCACCGCTTATAAATGTATTTTATATTTCGTACTATTAATAAATTTGAAACGTACAAAATACACATAAAATTTTAACCTATATGAAAACTGTATCTAATGGTTAATTTTTACTTTTATCTATACGCTTGCCGCGTTTATTTTTGTTACCAACACAACATAATCAATATATTAATTGATAATGAATGAAAAATATTAAAAATAACCCACATAATCTATGTTAATATTTTAAAAATGGCCCTGTTATATATTTCTGTTACTATTAAAAAAGTAAATGTTTGGCAAATTATAAACAGTAATGTATGCATATTCTAATAGCATGAAAATACATTGAAAAATTTGTTTTTGCAATTGAACTAAGACTCAAATTCCGGTTCCCTTTTATAAAAAGTACTTAAATTGTTAAGTAGCGTATTTGCTAATGCTGTGACATCTTCTAATTAATACTTTTCTTTTTACTCTATTTACATTACCAATGTTAGTGTAACATTTATTGTGGACGCTGTCGCTGCAGAAACTTTCTTCGTTTGAAAAACAAAGTAACTCGGAAATGGCTTGCTAAGTAAAAGCAGTTCGATAATAATGGGAACGAAGAAAAGTGCAATGCTAAGGAGTTCGAGTGTTAACAGTCACATATTTCTTAATCTAAGACAGTGCACGAGTAAAAGGTTACATCGAAATATTCCATAAAAATGTTATAATTACGTACACTGCAGTTGCATGTACAAACTAATATAAATTACGGAGCTATTGAAAAATTTTATGAAATTCTGCCTCGTTCGTCGCTTTGTACGATGAAGGAAGTATACAAGTTACAGAGTTTAATTAATACGCTATGAAACACGGTGAATATAATTTAAATCTTCAGTTTATCTGCAAACTCGTGGCAATATTATTTAATTACAACCAGAATTAATTTCTCGCGGTTAATTATTGTTTTATACCTGTTGTAATGTAAACCCATTCATATAGAAATGTAATTAATAAATTGAAAGAATTGTAAGATTCTGTTCATAGTTGAGACCACGAGAAAAAATATTTAAAGTTTTGAATACAGCGTTCACTAATCAATATAGTTAACTAAACTTAACTCTCACAATTCATTACTGAGTTAATAATTACATAGTAATAGAGAAAAACCCCCGTAAAAGTGGTCCAATTTTTGAACGACCATAACTCTTAGAATAGTGAATGTATCTCATTCAAATTTAGTAGTGAAATAAAGCTCATGAATACCTATAACAAAGTATTACACAACATTTCCGTACTGTGTCAAACAAATATATTAAAAATCAAAAACGAATTTTTAAGAAAAATTGACAGGGAGTAGGCGGAGAAATTTTTTGACGAAATTAAAAAATTTCGAATCATTTAGAAAAAATTATTTCTGTTTGCAGGGGTCAATTATAATCATTTTTGGTGAATACACATACCCCCGAATTCCTACCCACTTTCGAGAAAAAAATTCGAGTAGATATGAAATTTTTCGACAAAATTAAAAAATTTCAAATCATTCCAAAAAAAATTATATTTAATTGCAGGAGTCAATATCAATTATTTTTGGTCAATAGACATACCCCCGAAATCCTACCCACTTTCGAGAGAAAAATTCGAGTAGCTGTGAAATTTTTCGACAAAATTAAAAAATTTTAAATCGTCCTAAAAAAATTATTTTTATTTGCAGGCGTAAATTACAATTATTTTTGGTCAATAGACATACCCCTGAAATCCTACCCACTTTCGAGAAAAAAATTCAGTAGCTACTGAAATTTTTCGATAAAATTAAAATATTTCAAATCGTTCTAAAACAATTATTTTTAGTTGCAGGAGTCAATTACAATTATTTTTGGTCAATGGACATACCCCCGAAATCCTACCCACTTTCGAGAAAAAAAGTCTTTACTGAAAATATAATGTTTGATCATGAATACCTGAATTCCCTGAAATTTCATGGGTATGTTTAAAACATCATAACTCCTGAACAGATTGGTGGATTTTAATGTTTCAAAATGCAAATGACGCGTGTTTTGATGAAGAATATATATAAATTCTAAGAATATTCGAAAAGTTGTTCCTTAACTCCGTAAAGTGAGAGTAAAGTTGAGTTTACTCTCTTAAAAGTAATTACATACAAGAATCCTATACTCATAGTTTCACACGTATATCACGTTTTTTATTATATTTGTTTTATTACTTATTTATCAACTACAAATACCTATGTTTATATTCTCGTATACTGTAACCCGAAATAAAAAAAGTGACTTTCTTCTATGCTTTCTAAAAGAAATTTTTTCAAATTTTAAACGTTCAATTCCTCTATCACGACCAACAAATTAAGAAAGTAATTAATCACTAAGTAATTACGGATTCATAATTTACGCTAAATACTGGAGCATTGTTGGAAACAACAGGCGTACCTCTTGATTTTCTTTTATGCGATCGAAGTCAGGAAGCTCGAATCGTTTGCCGTAGACTAGGCACTTCTCGTTACGAGCTGTTGGTAACAAAGCAACACGACGTTACGTAACATCGTGTCAAAGCCATTATTCAATGTCCCGCGGATGCCCTTATATTGTATTCCTTTCTAAGGGCGAACAATGTATCGCGTTGCATAACGGGATAATGCACGCATTACGTCAACGGCCCGATCGATACCTTTCGAATGGAGAACACGAAAAGTATTAAAGTGTCAATGCACGACGGACGCAACGTGGCTCGCGTCATACCAGAGACACGAAACGCCTAATTAATTAGTCCGGCTAGGCGTAACCCATCCAGCGATTATGTAACAGCTGACAGCCAACGGGATACTGTAATTACACCGGTACGGAATATTCAATTGGATACCTAACTCGCTAATAATCGACACGACGGTATTAACGGAGCATGGAATATTGATGGCGTACTAATTTCCTGCGACGACGACGATCCCGGATGATCTTTCAGACGTACCGTGGAAAATTAATACCCGAAACGTCGATTCTGCTGTTCTTACTTATTCAAAAGGTTTCGATCGAAGCTTACAATTAATCGGATTTCTCGTCCCCCCTCGAGAAGACATTAAAAATAAAGAGAATCTTGGCCACTTTGATCCTTTTTGCGGGGTTTGGTAACAAATAATGCTTCGAGCAAACGACAGCTCGATGCTTATTTGGAGGCAATCTTCTCTCGTGGAATTAATACTTCTGATTTCTATAGTCCAATAATGGGGTGGTTATATTGAGCAATTAAACATTTATTTGCTAATTACTAGCAAACTATTGAAAATTCATATGTATTGGAATAAATTATTTGAATTTTGGTAGATCGATTGCTGTACAAAATGGTCTGCATGTATCTGCAGAATGTTCCACGCAACTGGGGCCAGTCATAGCCTTTAACGGCGGAAGATAGACAAATATTTTTTTTAATGGAAATCTATATTTTTTTATATGTTTATAGATGCACTTTTTTAAACTGTAAAATAAAATAAGATTCTTGGGTGGAAAGGTGGTTAGTTTGAAAGATATTTTATGCACAAAATTCATACTAAATATGAACAAAAAAGGAATAGTCAATCCAGTTACTTACAATTAAATGTAATAAAATGATGATAAATCAAAATTGAAATATCTTCTAAAATAATAGATTTTTGATCTGAGAAAGAATAGTTATAACTTGTACTTGTTTCTCTGTTATAATTAGCTTATTTTTGTAGGATTTGCTCGGAATTGCTATCTTTAAACCAAATGTAAGTTTTCTCGTATCAAAACAGTCATTTTTTATGATTATTCCCATCCAACTGAAGAATGGAATATTCTTTAATTAAGGTAAAAAGCAACTATTCAATATAACTTTATGGTCTGAAGTCTTTGACTATAAAAACAAACAGCTATATATTATAGCAGTATAAAAATTACTATAAACGAAGAAGTAGGTTTCTGAATCAATAATAAATAGATAATTAATATCATTTTCATTAAAAGTTATAGTATTTATAAATTAACTATATACTTATTATAATTGAATTTATGGAACATTTATTATTGATTCATAAATTAAACAGATTGTGTAATAAATTGTAATAAACTTGAATGAAAATAAATAGAAATAAATGAATTTTAAATTTTTAAATATTTTGCAAAAACTTACTGTAACTTTTAATGAAAATTTCATTAATTACTATACATTTGAATAAAAGTAAATATATTAAATCAACTAAGGATACAATTAATTTATAGAATACTTATGGTGCATTCAAAAATAATGTGAACATTATAAATTTGAATAGAATTCTAATCTCTGAAACATATGTTATGGTACACCTCGTAAAGGGGATATTTCAGGATTGTTGGTCACTCTCTGACAAAGTCTCGAAACTAATATCGTCTTCTTGAACTTAGGGTTGTTACACAGGAGATCAACAACATAGAATTAATATACGAGAGCTAAAGGGCTTACGCTTGATACGCAAGAGATCAGGACTTCAAAGCTGTTATTAACATTCCAAATCCCGATAGTTGACATTATATTGTCTCGTATAGAAGGCGTTTCACACAACTGGAGCCAGTCATAGCTCTAAAACGGTAGAAGATAAAACAAAATTTCATTAGGCAAACTTAAATGGTACCAAGTATTGCATGATTTGATAAATGTGTCTATTCCGAAAGTGGAGGCATTTGGATGATTTTAAGGTCACCTCTATTCTTTTAAATGTAACTTTACATTTTTATATGTACCAATGAATGAATATTGAATATCCTTATTTTCTCTAAAAAAACAGTATCTTGACATTTAGCAAATTTTATGAGGCATTTGTATACCAGGTTGTTAATATAACTAACGATCTTAACGTAACATCAGAGTGTTATGAATGGACTGCGGATGTTTATGCATTTATGGGAAATTTTAATTCTTAAAGAACTACAGAATTTACTTAATAAGTAAAATTATAAGAAATATAAAACTTTATACAGCTCTCATTTCATTCATTCTATTAATAAAAATATGAATTTGTATAAAGACCCGTAGTCTAGTTATGAGGTCGACACTTCCTAGACTTGCCAACAGAGGGATACGCTCTCTCACAGGTACTCAACCGACCACCTATCCCTAAATATAAACGCCTGTCTTACTGATGAATCCACTGACAGATCCAGTAATCATTCTTGCAGAATTTCAATGACCACAATGTCTACGTTATAGATTAATACGACTCCCGCTCTAGGTCACACTATTGTGTAGTGTTTACTATTGATTATCACGACTCTATAGTTGCCAATAAGTCGCAAGATCATAACATCTCTATCGATTGAAACAATAAAAGTCGCTATCAAATCACAGAAACTGTTCGATCGATCAATATAGTTCAAACATTGAAAGTATCCAGACTTATCAACGTACACTAGCCTTGGAATGGATATCGTTTCTTCCATAAATTCTAGATTGATAGCATCGATTACATGAGACCTGAATCAGGTGATATTGTTTCCAAGATCTCTGGGGTTGATCTACGTGTCACGATTCCATTACAGTAATGTCGTGTCTCCTGACACCCTGGGTTGATGGTATCGCACTTGAAGACACCGGGTCGTCGGTATCGGCTTGCATGACCCCGTGGTCATACTTCCGGGCTTCCGGTAGCCAGCAGGTGGTCAATGTTCTAATCTCTCGATGACCATCGATTGCTTCTGTCCCGACCCGAAATTGTTCGTTATCGATGGAAGGATGGAATCTCCTATTGCATCTGCCAGACTTGTTTCGAGAAATATCGTCACGTAAATTCGACTCTTTGTTCGGTAAGAAGCCACCTGTTCATTGGAATACGTCGAACAGATAACCATCTTAAGAACGAGGCCTCGATGAAGTTCGTTTGAAACATCCAGATGGAATGTATCTTCCGATTCGCGGCACAGGCAACTACGAAATTGAGTTTCTGGAGTTCCAGCATCCCGACGATCTCCCTTCCGCGCTCCAATTCCCTTCACGCGCCTATAAAGGGTTGCTCATACAAGAGAGGATCGGTGCAAGGGAGTGGCAAGGGAGAGGGTCGGTGCTTGGCCACTTACGAAATACCGTCAGGAGGCAGACAGCTACCACTAATCAGACTGTTTCCACTTAATTTGCCAGGGTAATTAACCGTCTCATTCACCTCTGTCGACCCTAAAGCCATTCCTGAACCTGAACCCAGGTACTCTATTATGCACGGAACCTATTGTGTCCGAGGATGCCTCTGAGAAAGCGCTCTACGGAAACGTACGATTTCCTTCGCAACCGTCTCCCTTGTTTCGAGGTGCTCAGAAGTCATCATCGATTTGAACTGTGTGCGTTTGAACCCTTTCATGT